TCTTGCGCGCATGCGCCAACTTCATCAGACGCACGCAGGCGTCAACAGATGGTGCCACAAGGAATGGCTCTCATGTTTGGGGACGCCGTGTCTGAAATGGGTAAACTGCTAAAATGCAGCCCCATTGGAAAAAAAATATTGAATAATTAACTTTAAAATCGTAGAAAATACTGCTGTAGTTTTTTAAAAATGTATTACTTTAAATCCATTATCGTTAAATAAGGAATAAAAACATTCTTATCGTTCACTATTGTAACGATTATTTATTTCTGGAGGTTTGAATGATTGATTAAAAATATATAACTGTAAAAAATAAAAACTATGGGGAAAAAAACCTATAAATTTGTTTACATTCACTGCAACAAACATTCGAAAAGTAAATAATTGTATCTGATAAGGACAAGCATTTTACTATAATTTAATTCCTACTATTAGTTCACTCTCTCACTATATATATATATATATATATATATATATATGTATGTAAATTTTCAATCGTTAATAAAATACTTTCTATTCATCTACATTCAAGTTCAAATACATTTTTTAAAACCTGTAGTGGATGACACTTGATGTTAATGCATTTTTTCAAATATTAATTCATTAATTAAATTAAAAAAATATAGCAACAAACAAATATTATAGTCCAACAGCATACATAGAAAGAAAAATACGTTCGTTGTATCCCTGCAGCGCAATAGAAACCGTGTTGGACTTCTAATCGAAAGGTCGTGGGTTCGAATCCCACATGGGATGGCCTAGTTTCTGAGAGTGGAATTTCTTTTTTACTATTTTATTTTACAAGAATAATTAAATTTAATTAATGAATAAATAGTAACAAAAATAGTCCAATACTATATATACATTTTGCCGCCCAACCGTTACAGTGGTTAGTGACGCTGATTGTGGCGCCGTAGGGGTTGTGTGTGGGTTCTAATCCCGGGTAAGTAATTTAAAGTAATAAAATGGATTTGAAATCTTCATTATTTACAACCACTAAATAAGAAAAACATTCCAAACGAAACAAATTTTATCTGGTAGAAACGTATCAACATTTGGTTCTTTCAATTGCTTATTTCCGTATCTCATAAATTAAGAGAATGGTTGATAAACAGAAGAAATATTTATTTAAAAATGGAAACGTATTCGTAACAAATTCATTATTTTAAATTAATAATTTTCTTAGGATTTGAAATTATAAAATTGATTAGAAATGTTTATTATTCAATTAATCGGGATACACCATTTGCTTAAAAAATGGAGCTAAAACAAAAATCTTGTTTATTGAAAGCGTCAAAGCGCAAATGGCAAAAAAGAGGGGGGAGTAACGCTGCCGAAGTTTTTTTCACTCCACATGCGCCATTACCACTCAAACGTTTGAACTCTATGTGGTAAGTTTACCACAAATAATTAATTTCGTAATTTTGGTTATGTTTTTCGTTGCATTCTTTCAGCCCTAAGAAACAAAAATGCACCTTTTTTAAAAATAGTTTTATGTATGAAAAAAGACAGAAAAATAGAAATTTTCAAAATTACAAAACTTTATAACTATTTTACAGCAATTTTGCTATATTCTATTTCAGCTTAAAAGTAGAAAGAACAAAGTCATGAAATTTCGTTTGGCTTGAAAACTGGTTTTCGACTCCAATTACACCGTTCGCTTTGCATAAAAGTAGTTTGCGAATGTTTTTTTTAAAGTTTTCATTTTTTAGGGCTTAGTTTTCAAGTTGAAGTTTCCAAATTTCACACATCGATAACAAACAACTGCAATTAAAAAAACGTAAGACAAATATTGCATTTATGAAAAGTATCTATTAAATGAAAAACACAAAAACATTTTTAAAATCCTTAATTTTTAAACAAATTTTTCTTTCTTTTGTCAAAACTCGAATAACAACGTTTGACACCCGAAAAAAAAGTTTTGTGTGAGTACTTTTGTAAATGACGAAGTTATTAAATGCTTAGATATATAAAATTTGGTATATTTTTTGAAAAATCGTAAAAGAAAAAAAATTGTTTTATTATTTAAATTTTTAAATCACTGATTCTAAGAGAACAAAGTTTGAACTTTCCTAGAACAGTGTTGATTCACTACAAATATATAAAAAATCTATACAGAACGATTGAGAATTTCTTTTCATAAAAACGTGTCAAAATTGACTCATTTTAGAAAAAACAGAAAAAATGGAAAATATCGCTGTTTTGTTTGAAAAATTATACCGTATGGTGGCAAAATAAGCTATCTTTTTGATTCAGTTTGATTTTGATACGGAAAGATTGTTGTTTTAAAAACATCGAAAATCTTTCCCCGTCCGGTTCTTCTCGGCGTAATAAACAGGGGCAAACAAATCATGCATTTTGACGTTATATCTCTTGAACTAGTTGCAATATCGGAATTTAAATGGTTCAAATGGTTTTCCCATCTTTTGGTACCTTCGGCGCGTTTCCGTGTTCAGTGGTTCGTGAGGAGACAACCTCACACAGATCGATAAACAGATGCCTTTGTTTACTTACGATTTTTAGTAGTTTAGATAGAATTTTAATACTTGAGAGACTGAAATAGCTTGAATATTAAAGATATTATTGAAAAAAGGGCAATATTTAAATATTATTGATATTTTGGAAACCTGAAAAGGTGGATGCTATAGTATTATAAACATTGCTGGTTGAGGACAGCTCTTAAATTTACATAAAAATGAGGTGCAAACGCACACTTAGCAAAAACACCCCGCATAACATTGAGCAAAAACACGATCACATATGAAAAAAGACAGGTATTGACTACAAGCTTCTAACTCAGGAAGAGGAAATCAATTTTTTCAACCCTGAGAACACCCTATTGGTAAAAAGGAAATTCTAAAACTTTCCATATGTTTAGTATGATGTCATTCAGGGACATGATCTTGGAAAAGAAGCTCAGGTACATGACAGTTAGAATTATAGTTAATGAAAAATTAACGCGATGTTCTGAAGAGTTCAGGTCTAATAATACTTAAGGTAAGCGAAAATAAAAATTTTCCTATATAAAGTGATGAATACTCTTAGCATAAAATAATTTCCGAAAAACTGTATACTTGTGTACTTCTTTGTAATGCATCACTTATTACTTGGGATGTAAATAGACAGTGATTTCCTTTCACTTGTGTGAATTCACTTCTATAAGAATTCACATTCCTCGGATATGTATAAAGTTTTCCCATTTATCAGGCGGTAGATATATAAAATACGGACAAATAAGAATCGTGAAGAAAAGTAAGGAATAAGCATAAGAGAATGTTGCACATAATCCGCTTACGTTGATGTCTTGAAATATATTTACTTTAATAAGGCGATCGCATATAATGACCATGCTCTTCGGTATTTCCTTGAGAATCTATGACTAAAATTGAAATAGGTAGAATTTCTTTAATATTTCGTATTTATTCTTGATAAAGTAAGGCGTTATTTTGAATAAGATATTAGAGCCCTATGTTGCCTGAATTCTATCTATTTTGCTAATAATGGATAATTTATAGAATCCTATTGATATTGGGTCTTTTTGGAATGACTTTATAAAGTAACTTTTTCTATTAAAATACGCAGAATTTATTTATAGTATATATGTGTGTGTGTTACTCGTGGTTTCCTAAATTGTGTTGCCAAAACTTCATTTTATTTTAATTACTTTACGTCAAAATCTTGAGGCAAAACTTATTAGAAAATCATTTGTATGAATATAACGGATTTTTTAATTCTAATTCAGCTAATTATATCAATTTTTAAATATATTTCAAAAAAAATTTTGTCTAAAAAATAATGGGGAGTTCCAGTTTGCTGATGAGGGAGATGTGGATAAATTTAATGGCGAACAATTTATTAGAACTGCGCAAGGCAATGCTTCTCAAACTTTCAATATTTGCCATCCAATCATAATTTTCCTCGCCCCCCTACAATAATGTATTGAATGCAATAATAATGTACTGCAATACACAAACTTAATTATAAACCTTACAATTTATCAAGATAAGAATTAAATTTTGCTTATGTTACTATGCACTATTATTAATGTATATGTTACTTTCGTATATGCAATATTTTATGTAAGAATTTTAAGTAATAGGATAAGTATGATATTTCTATTCCTTTCTACATTTATAAGTATGTTATATCAGTGCAAATGTGTATTTTACTTTTTATTATGTCAGAATGTACGTTGCGACATAGCCATCCTGTGATGACTATGTCTTTCCGGATCCGCGTAAGCTAGAGGTGTGGGATTATCAAAATGATGAGACATCTTGGTTCTTAATACAACTTTTATTAAGAATAACTTATATTACTTAATTCTAATTGACAACTTTCTTTAAAGTGAGAGTTAACACCCAATTAAACCTTGTATTCAAGTCAGATCACGCAACTAGATCATTTATCTTAATTATAATAAATAAACCGATTCATCTAACTTCCTATACCAAATATTACCTTTTGCAGATCTCCTTCCTTCAGTGATTGAGTGATATCTATAATGTAACTGAATATGCGAGGTTTCCAACTTCTTTATAATGAACTTCTATTTCTTCCAAAGCTATAGGACAGCTAACTCTTGATCTGAAAGATTCCACACACTAAGCTATCTCTAAACTTGCCGCCATTATCATCAAAGCTTCTATCCTTTTAAAGTATATCTCATTTACATATTATCTTCGTTTGTCTTCTTGGTATTGGGTTGGAAAGGTTTTGCCATTAATCGTGGCCGTCAAAGAACACAGGAGTTATGTTAGCAGAAGGACGCGAGAGACGTCACAACCCCCTCCAAGAAGAAAAACGTGATTTACTTAAGGGTTCTCAATGCCCTTAATAAATTACGTGTCTAAATCTCTATTTCTGAATTTCTTCGCTTTCTGAGTTTTATTTAAATTTTAATCTTAAATCCTCATTTTAACTTTTATAATTTCCAATATTTATCTTGACTTTAATTTT